TTGTTTACCTGCCCGGTCGGGCAGGCATTGGGACACACCCACCTGCCTGAATATGAGTTTTACCTGCCCCGGGCAGTCGGGCAATAGGATTTGTTGAACCCTGATTTTCTGTTTTTTCTTCCAGAATATTTTAGAAAAACTCACGTCTGTAATGAAGATTAAAATGCGTTTCACCCAAACCAAGAAGAACACATGACAATAAGCTCAGGCCTTTAAGTGACTGCTGATATGTGACCCAGTGACTGTTGTGCAACAGAAATCAGTGTGTAAAGATGACGGATCAGTGCTCAGACAGGTCCGTGTGCATCAGACTGCAGCTCTGCTAACTTCTAGCTTTTAGCTCCACAAACTACAACTGGAGTCTGATCTTTGAGTTGAAATTTTTATTTTGGGAATCTCTTTAGAGGAAAATACCTTTGACATTGTTGGATTTTTAAATAAATTCAGTTTATCTGTTGTGTCAAAGAATCCAGCAAACACAAGTTCTTTAGGTACGTCCTCACAACACGGCAGCTAAAAGCTCACCTGACACCATCAGATCATCATGTTATTAAAACATTTATTCAACTTTAAGTAGGGGTTTTACAGAAAACACTTGGTTTTACCATAAAACTTATTTTTGACAACTATGTTGTAAGCTAGCTGAAATAAGTTTTCAGTTTAGCCCGACACAGTGTTGTGATGTTACTGATAAAAACAAAAACAGGAGCTGCTGCAACAAACACTTTACAAACTAAATGATTCAGTGGTGGAAGATAAGGAGAGAAATGATCCATCCTTCTGACACAGTCAGTTCAAAACAACTTGTTCTCATTCTTTATGACTCAAACACTGAACCTTGTTGCACTCCACTGCTGCTGACATCTAACTACAGCTTCTTCAGGTTTGATTTCAGGCTGAGAACACAGAGAAGTGGATCAAACTGTTAGAACAAGTTTAAAACACCATCAGAGTTCAGATAGAAAGACCCTGAAGGCTCCGACAGTAAAACCACCTGATGGTGACAAACAGTCTGCAGCTCCATCAGACAGACTGAAGAACCTGCTGCAGGTTCTGAGAACACCTCGTCTCATGAAGCCTTCTGGTCCTGTGGCTGCTGGGGGAGCTTCTTCCGGTCCTTCCCAGCATTCCTCTTCCTCTTCTTGCTCAGAAACGTCTCCAGTTTGCCTCTCTTCTTCAGCTCCAGATATTTATCAGCCAGCTGCAGCTTCTTCTTGTCGGCTGCAGGAACAGAGACAGAGTGTTTGTAGTTGGTTTTAACTGCATCAGTTGTTTTTAAATGTACATAGAAGGAACACATCATGTCACTGTGTTTACCAGCAGTGTGCATGTAATCATGTGTGGTCGCAAGTTTTACCAAGAATGCAGAAACATGTTGGAATAAATGCACAGAAAGTCTGCGTGTATGGCCGTCAAATGATTTAATTCTGAGCAACAACAGAGCAGAAGTCAAACAGGAAGTCTGTCGTGTTGTGACTAGCTCCTTAGCGGAGAGCGGCCTGATAATATAACATTATGTGAGATGCTTACAACTAATCATAGTTCGCCAACTGTGAACCATCTAACCAATGACAGAGCTGTCAGCCCGGAAACACCTTATCAAAAATAAAACAGGTCATGCATTACTGGAGTCTTGAAGACTGGGCCGATAGATTAAAACAGCCAAAACTAGTTAATCATAAGATATGATTACAGAACAGTGTCAAGGTAGAACAGATATAAATAATTAATCCATAACAATCCCTCCTCTTGAGTAAACAATACTCAAATCAAATCAAAAGGAATAATTATTAAAAGTCCAAACACAAAATGTATCACCCAACAACAAATACAATGTAAAAATAAGGGGAAAATAGTGCAAGTTAATTGATGACCAACAACATATACACTCACCGGCCACTTTATTAGGTACACCTGTCCAACTGCTCGTTAACACTTAATTTCTAATCAGCCAATCACATGGC